AGTAGGCTTTAAATGGGTATTTGTACGTAAACGCAATGAGAAAAATGAAATTGTAAGATATAAAGCCCGACTTGTTGCCCAAGGGTTTTCTCAAATGCCGGGAATTGATTATGAAGAAACCTATTCTCCAGTAGTTGATGCAACTAAATTAAGGTTTCTCATTGGCATGTCTGTTTTTGAAAGGCTGCAAATGCGCCTAATGGATGTAGTAACTGCATATTTATACGGTTCACTCGATACAGACATTTATATGAAAGTTCCCGGAGGATTTAAAATGCCTGAAGCTTATAGTTCGAAACCTCGAGAAATGTTTTCCATTAAACTACAAAAGTCATTGTATGGACTAAAACAATCTGGACGAATGTGGTATAATCGTCTCAGTGAATACCTTCTTAAGGAAGGATATAAGAATGATCCAATTAGTCCATGTGTTTTCATCCGGCGATTAAATTCGGGATTCGCCATAATTGCAGTATATGTTGATGACTTAAATATTATTGGAACTCCCGATGAGATTGAAAATACTGCAAAATATCTTATGAAAGAATTTGAAATGAAAGATCTAGGGAGAACCAAATTTTGTCTCAGACTTCAAATTGAGCATTTGAAGAATGGAATTTTCATCCATCAATCCAATTACACCGAGAAAGTTTTGAAGAGATTCTATATGGACAAAGCTCATCCTTTGACTTCACCAATGGTGACTCGATCTCTCAACATACACGATGATCTCTAGCTAATAATACTAGACCAGATATTGTATTCTCCGTAAATTTATTAGCTAGGTACAGTTCATGCCTAACAAGACGTCATTGGAACGGGATCAAGCACATATTCCGTTATCTACGTGGTACAGTTGATCTTGGCTTATTCTACCACAAAGATGAAAAAGCTGCTTTAATCGGATATGCAGACGCTGGATACTTATCAGATCCTCAAAAGGCGAAATCACAAACCGGGTACATATTTACTTATGGTAACACCGCAATCTCATGGAGATCTATGAAGCAGACATTGACAGCTACATCGTCAAATCATTCTGAGTTAATTGCACTATATGAAACCGAAAGAGAATGTGTGTGGCTACGATCTATGATTCAACACATCCAAAATGAATGCGGTATGAAATCTATTACTTGTCATCCTACTGTGATCTACGAAGACAACACTGCGTGCATAGCTCAGATTAAAGAAGGCTACATCAAAGGAGACAGAACAAAACACATATCACCAAAGTTCTTCTCTACTCATGATCTCGAGAAAGAAGGGACGATCAACATTCAACAAATCAGATCCAGTGAAAATCCAGCCGATCTCTTCACCAAATCTTTACCCCCGAAGAAGTTCATGGAACTTGTACAGAAAATCGGCATGCGACGTCTTCATAATTTATACTAAATTCAGGGGGAGTATTTGAATGCACTGCACTCTTTTTCCCTTCATCAGGTTTTTATCCCACTGGGTTTTTCCTGATAAGATTTTTAACGAGACAGTACATCCAAATACAACGACATTATAAGTCGTAATTTTTACCCCTTAATTTTCACAATAAGTTTTTAAAATAATAGACAACTATTCAAGGATGAACATTCAAGGGGGGGTGTTGTAAAATCCTGGAAATGACAAGTGTGAATTGTTCATCCTTGTCATCAATCCAGAAATTATGTTTAATCCTTGTAACCTAGTTAGAACAGATGCCTCAAATTGTTATTGCCACCAAATCTGTAGATTCATCCCTTAAGTGACTAATCATCAAGTTCAAACAGTATAAATAGGAGCTTGATGAGGCATTGTAAATTCATTCAGAAATTCAGAAATTCTCATATATTAAGAAGAAGATATTTAGAGCTTTTATTAATATATCTATCTCTCAAATTTAGTCTTCATCTTCTTCATTTTCACAACAATATTTGAGTTTTTCACTTTTTTGCATAATATGTACCCATTCTTGTAATCTTGTGCAAAAGATGGGCGCGTGGGAGGGCAAGTTTTTCCTCAAAAGATAAATTAAAGGTAAGCACCTAGATGTACTTAGTACACTACACCTAGGAAGCACGGAAACGCCGGGCAGGCGGAAGTTTCCGTCCCGGAAACGTTTTAGAAACGCGAAACGCCCGGAAACGGTCGGAAACTCCAAGGAAACGCCCGGAAATGTTTCTGAGAGGTTGGGCTGTTGGGCCGGTTTAGGAAACGTTTCGGAAACGTGGCTGGGCTTGGACCAACGCGTTTCCGCAGAAAGTAAAAAAAAAACGGGCTTCAATCGACAATCGCTTACCTCTGCACGCGCGAAGACCTTACAACTGCGTCGAAGAAGGGTTATCTGCGTCTGCGAAAGGGAAGAGCGGAAGACTGCGAACGAGAGTCAGGGAGTGCTGTGTCGCTGCTATGCTGCTGTGCTGCACCGCCGCTGGTTCGCTATTCACAGGACCGGACATGACGGAAGAATGGAAGAAGAAAAGGGTTTGGTACTTTGGTTCTCTTCAATTTCAATTGCTTCCCAGTTCTAGACTTGTACTCTTCTAGTAAGTACCGACCCTTTATTTGGCGGAGACGAGTTCGACAATTTGGAAGAAATGGGCTATTTGGAGTTTGCTAATTTATCCTTAGATGAGCTAGAATCGGAGAGAGTGTTTATCAGTGAATGAAACATTTACATAGTGCTTTTTAAATTTTATTTATTATGCTTGTAGAATGGATTATAACAAGGATGTATGTTTTGTTTAATTATTTTCTGGGTTGTTAGACATATGCATTACTTATATTACTAAAAAAATTAATTTCTAGTTTGACGTTTCCTTGCCGCACCCGTTTCCTAATATTTTGAGTTTAGCGTTTCCCCGTCCCCGTTTCCGTTTCCGTTTCCGTCCCGGTGCTACTTAGCACTACACCATAAAAAAGAGGGGTTTAATGCACCAAACAAATTCGGCGCATTAATCTTCTATGATTTAAAAAACGCGTCAAACCTCCTTGTGTTATCATTACTCATACGCCAAACCCCCTCCAAGAACAAATTTTACAATTTTGAAATCACCTTTTTTAATAATATGGTTGAATATGTAAGTAACTTTATCAAAATTTCTAAATTATACAAAAAACTAATCATTTTTTATCTTTTTTGAAATTAAATTTGTTTTTGAGGGGGTTTGGCGCATGATTAATGATAACACATGAGATTTGATGCTTTTTTAAATCACAGGGGTTAATGCGCCGAATTTATATTTCATGAGAGAATTTTGGTTCATTAAACCTTAAGAAAGAGATGAAGCAAATAAAGAGGGAGAGTAAATGAATTAATTTTCTTAGACGTACACTAAAATTAGTAAAAAAGAAAAAAAAGATGGAAAAAGAATGAAGTAAAAAAGAAGTATTACTGGTACTCGATTTCCATTTTCTTGCTACAATCTCAGATTCATGATTGAGCCTTTACCTCTGCTTCTTCTCCATTTTTAAGGATTGAAAAAAGGAATCAACAGTGACACACATCCCCCAACCCCACCCCATTTCTCAGTTCCATTTTTTTTTTCTCATTCCGAATTCCGAATTCATAATCTAATTCCTTTAATATTTTTAATGTGTAAATTTTAATTATTAATATTGATTTAACTATTTAAACAGTATAAATTATCTTGGAATAATTACATTTATGGTGAGTCAATATTTGTAAACCGGGAAACTTGCCATCATTATGAAAGTGTACACCGTACACTCGGTTATAAGGTACTTATTGTACAATCAGGTATTATATATTAAAATAAATGAGTATAATTAACATTTAAAAAATGAGTATCGATATTAAATCATAGTATTGCATTGGTAGCACAAATGAGTATTAGAAGCACGCAATTGAATATCATGATATACACGTAATATATAACACAATTGATTATTAGAAGCATGCAATTGCGTATCATGATCTACACGTAATATACATGTTACAAATCAACTTATTTATTTAACTATATTATCATTGTATTATCATCAAAATATTTATTTTGCTAATTTTCTAATTCAATACCAATACTCATTTCTTTTAAATGTTATACACATTTCTTTTAATATAAAATATTCGGTTACGTTGTAAGATGAGTATCGTACAACCGGTTGTACGGTATAATTTGTCGGATGTATATATCATATAGATTTAAGATCAAATACAAATAGTCCTTGCCATGAAAAATAGGAATAAATCTTGAGCATCGGATTCAAGATCTAATGATCTAAATATATATGTCAAAAATGCACTATAATGGACGAAAACTCGATGACATTTCCATAAACAAAAAAAATCTTCTTTTCAAAAGTGGACTTACAACGTGCAATAGTGTACCGTAAAGGACTAAAAGTGAATAACGGAAATTTTCTGAATGCAATAGTGCAATTCAGGTGCTCAAGAGTGGAGACGTTCGCATTTTGTATTTTAAGACTATGTTTTATTGGAACCGGACTCTATCATATAAACCTTGTCATGATTGGCTTAATTTTCCGATTTACTAATACACGACGTATGATATATAATTGGGAAAATGGAAAATAATAATCCAAACTTTACGCGGTCTTTGTTTAACGGTCCGTGTTATCGAAAATCAATTAAAAATCCCAACTTTTCATATCATCTTCTGTAATCGGTCCCGAAGACTTGTTACCGGCTAGGACAGTCATATTTTTAAAGAAAAGTGCAAATTAATAATTCAATATTTACTCGATCTTCATTTAACGGTCCATGTTAGGCTGTTACCGGTAATTCTAAATATAAAAACTTACTCCATCCGGTCACTCTTAGGTCGGGACTGTTTATTGAAGATGGCCTGGAAAATTGGGATTTTAATGGATTTTCGATAACATGGATCGTTAAATGAAGACCGGGTAAATGTTGGATTATTACTTTCTTCCCCTATATAATTCCGTAGAAGTGTAGAACTATGGCCATACATAAATACGGAGTATCTCTCTATATATTCCGTATATGTACACACTTTAGTATTCTTAGTACTCAATATATCTATATACAGCTTTCCCACTTTTCATCCAGAAAACAAGAGAGAGATCAAGAGAGACAAGATATGGGGAGAGGGAGAGTGGAGTTGAAGAGAATAGAGAACAAAATAAACAGGCAAGTTACATTTTCTAAGAGAAGAAATGGGCTTCTCAAGAAAGCTTATGAACTTTCTGTTCTATGTGATGCTGAAGTTGCTCTCATCATCTTCTCCAGCCGTGGCAAGCTCTTTGAGTTTGCCAGTTCCAGGTATATATACAAATACTCCGTATAATTTACTCCCAGTAATTATTATGTCTATATATGTTAAAGAAAGCTTATAATTTACGTAATCAACATAGAGCTAGCTTAGCCAAGATAGGCTAGCTAGGCTGTCTTACCTTAATAATTACCTTAGTGGGTAGTTTTTATTTTTCTTAGAAGGAGTAAAGTTTGAGTCTTTATGAAGATCCAACTAACCTATTCTTGGTTTAGAACTGCAGGCTGGCTATATAATCTAGCTGTAGTAATTAAGGTTAATTATGAAGATACATAGTTGTTGGATTGAGAGTTTGACACGTGCAGTTCGCACGTTTCTTGTTGCTCATCTGATCTTTAATCCTTGCTAACTACCTAGCCCCAGATTTAAGCTTCTAGATCAATTTGGATGCTGATCTACTCTTGGGGCAAAATCTAGGGTTTCTCTCCCTTGCTTAATTAGCTCGCATTTTGGTTATGATTAAACTCTCCTCCCTTGATTAATTACTTAAAGATCGGATTTTTAAGAAACCCTTTTGATTTTGGAACCCTAAAAGTGGGTTATATATCTTAATTGACCTCAGTAATAATTAGCTAGCAAAGCTTTGTCAATCTTTGTACGCTGGTCTTTTTCACTTTTCATCCTAAGATCTTGCAGTTTCTTCAGTGAATGGGAAAGAGAGCATTCCAAAGCTAGTTAGCTTTTTCAGCAGATGAAAATATTCGTATTTATTACTGATTTTACCAAAGCTAGCCAGATTTGAGGGATATTTCTGGCTTTCAGTTTGACCAGCTTGCCGTACATGCACTCTTTTTGTTTAGTTTATTGGTGGATGGGTTCAAGGAGTAATTAATTACTGTAATTGATTTTTTGGATTTTTCATTCCTATCTTGTTTTGGCAATTTTGTTAATTCCCGAACTCCCACAAACCCCAACATTTCTTTGTCTTAATTAATTAATAAAGACTTGTGCAAAATAAGGGCAGATTCAGAATTTAAGATACGATGAGTGTGTCGGTTTTACTTCTATTCATGTTTTGGTGCAATTTTAATTCTTTCTGACTCATGAGGCAAAAATGCCTTTCTGCAATTTACCAATTTCAGCTTTACTTTTGTGAGTATAGGAAGATCAGAGTTCTTTCATATAAATGCATAGGGCCTCTGCAAGTACCGGGGACAGATCCCAACTCCCTATCTGTCAGATTGAGATTATAGTCCAACTTACATCCTCCCAACATATCGTCCGGTCGGGGTTGGGGGGCCCTCAGGGATGGGGTGTCATCCTTTTTTTATATAAATGAGAGCTTGGCCAATGACCATTCTCTATGTATCCCTTACAAGTTTACTTTTGCTTCTTGTACACATTGATTTGTACACATCCTCAGTGAACAAATTATTATTTTTTGTTTATGAATAATGTATTCATAGACAACATATTTTTATCTGTGAACAGATTAAAAATAGTTTGTTCACAGATGGCGTGTATACAACATGTACAAGCGTCAAACGGACGTGTACAAACACCAATTTTCTTACAAGTTACCACATCAATGATATGTACACAAGCTATTTAATTATATATATACGCTCAATATCTTAAGTTGATGTATACAGACTTTCATTAGGCTTCATATAATTTTTGGCATAAGGGTTTTCCCTTTTAAGGATTTCCCAAGGTTTCATTTCCTGATAATGCATCCGTCCTTGGCTGATTTTGTAAAGTTTTATAAATTGTGTGAAATGTAACTTAGTTTTTAAAATTGTTACTCCGTATTAGTCCCTCCGTCCCAAAAAATACTTCATACTTTACTTTTTGGTATGTTCCAAAAAATACTTTCCACTTTCCTTTTTTGGATAATTTGTGTGGCTCACATTCATTTTACCTTTTTCTTACACAACTACAACGATCATACATTTCCACTTTATTTCACTTTCTTAATAAGCGTGCCAATTCAAACCGGAAAGTATTTTTTGGGAGGGAAGGAGTATTTTAGAGTTTAGACCAAGGGAGTAGGGAGTATATAGTTTAAACGGACCGTTTACAAGTTTCTTATTGGATTTGGAATTTTGAGATATTATTTGCAACATTTCTAGTTTTGGGAAGTTTATGTGTTCATCATACTCTTTTGTCATACGGAGTATTTTTTACATTTTATACTTTTTCTACTTTTTTATTTTCTGTAATTCTCTTTTATATAATGCCAATGCAAGTATATATTACCGAGTATTTCCTTTTTATTACATTTTCTCTATATTACTCACTACATCTGCTATTTTTTTTATTAATTTTCGTGAAAACACCTAAAATTACAACTTATAAAGTATGGAGGGATCATAATATATAACTTGACACTTCGTGATTATAGATGTCAGATGCATTTTATTCAAAATATAACCATTGTTTCACAAATTCAGACACACATGAATATGTTAATTAGGTGTCCCGGTTTCGACTCAAATTAGAATGTTTTTACTTGGACTGTAATTTCCTGGTCTGGTGTGGTCTGGTCTGTTTGAGTCTGCTCTAGTCTGGTCTATTTAAGTCTAGTCTGGACTGGAAAACGTCTAGTTACTGTATATTTTATAATTACGAAAGTCAAGTCTGGTCTGATCTGTTTAAGTCTGGTCTGTTCTGTTTAAGTCTGATATGGTCTGGTCTGGTCTGTTTAAGTCCAGAGTAAAAACATCCTTACAAGCAAATAAATATTTAAAAGTTTTTCTATTCGTAGCGGAGATACACTTTTTAGACGAACATAACTTATATTAAATGGAATAGATGTGGATTTGTTTATGGATAAAATTGCTTGTTAATTGGTATCAATACAAATTTACACATAGAGATTACTGGGAGTGAAAAAAGTAAAAACATGCGTAAAATTTATTTATAGTCAATCTCAAAAGGTGTTTTGGTTAAGAGCTTGTTTGATCAATCTTAGAATGGTAGTATCTAAAATATATTCGCTAATAAAAAAAGAAACTCTATGAAATAGAAACTAAAATGGCCGTCTTCCACAAATTTCTATAGTAAAAAATGTATACAACTTTTATTAATATAAATCCATAGAATATGTTTAAAAAAAATTAGTGTTTGATTTAATAAAAATGACAAACGTACAACTGTGGTTACCAAAATCCAAGACTGGTTCTACAGCTATCATACAATCAACAAATAAAATTAATTTTTTAGGATTATGTTTAATTAAATGTTGATTACACATTATGGATTCATTATTAACCTTACTTATTTATACAAAAACCACCTCTCTCCTTCTATGCAGCTGTGGCATTACCAAAACCCTTGAGCGCTACCAAAATTGCAGCTTTAATCCTCAAGAAATCAGCAGCAGTAGAGAAGCACAGGTTGCATTGCTAATTTGCTATGAACTAGTGTAATATGCACAACAATCATAATTTACTTAGTTATTAGTACTTTTTTTTTACTCCAGTGAGGGGTCTGGGGGAGGGGGTTGGGGGGTCTGGAGTAATCAGGGCTGAAACTCACTCCATTGAGCTTCAAACCCTTATGTGTCTAGCGGGTTTCGAACTCGAGACCTCCTACTAGGCACGGTAACCTCACAACCAGCTGCGCTGGAATGCTTGGTTTAATTAGTACCTAGTACATGCATTTACATATTTAAGCATGCACTATTCAACATACATACATGTGATCTGAGAATAGCAATAATATGTTACAGTTAATAATTAATTGATCTAATTTTGTAATTATTACATACATTTTACACAGAGCTGGTACAATGAGGTGCTAACACTCAAGACCAAGTATGAATGTCTTCAGAGAACTCAAAGGTGACTGGCAAATTTTAATTTATAATCATGAATTATTAATTACTACTTATAAACACACATATATTTATGATTTACTTAATATTTGGTGATGATGCATAATTAAACCTATTTTTGCATTGCAGGAACCTGCTGGGAGAAGATTTGGGGCCACTAAGCGTCAAAGACTTGCAAAATCTTGAAGTACAACTTGAAAATACTCTTGCACAAGCTAGGCAAAGGAAGGTAAAAAAGGGCTTAAAAATTAAATATCAATTTCTTGATAATATATTCTTTTAAGTACTATATAAATACATAAATATAAGCAAAGAATAATGAAAAACTATATTATTTTTGTTGTATACATCACAAATATATATATATATATATATATGCATGTTTGCAGACTCAAATTATGATGGAAGAAATGGATGAACTTCGAAGAAAGGTGACAATTTTTCCTTCTCAATCCTCATCCCAATAAAAGATGGTTTTGGAAGTATTTAGGATAAACTAATAATTGATTTATATACATACTGATAATTTAATGTGCAGGAGCGGCATCTTAACGATATGAATAAGCAGTTAAAGACCAAAGTGTCACTTGAACTATCATCGGTACTCATATTATAAATATTAAAACATAACCTGGGTAATATTATTTTCCTGCATTGATTTTTTCTTTTTTGCAGCTAAATTCTGGAGAAGAACGTGGAAATGACACCCTGCTCCTCCCCTGGAATACCTCTAATAATCCATCAAGAGAAAACCATGCCTTTAATCTACTACAGCTACCTTCTCAATCCAACCACACTGACTATAGACCAGAACTTTTCCTCCAAATTGGGTACATCCTAACACTGCATATAGGATTATAGGCTCGATTCTACACACATCATAAGTTATAGCTTTTGTACGGTTTAAAAAGTTTTCCAAAACTCTTGGTTGTATGTTTGACACAATTGTTTTTATTAAGTCGTTTTAAAAATTAGTATTTTGTTCAGAAGCTACTCTGAGTAGCTTTTGAGAGAAAGTTTGTGTTTTTAACATTAATCAGTCGCAACAGTTTTTAATAAACAACTCTAAAACTGTACAGTTACTAAAATTCATGAAGTGTCCTTTTAGCCACTTACTCCAGTCTCCAAACATGCACATAATAATATGTGTGTTCATTATAGGTATGATCACTATATGGGAGCAGAAGCTGCAGGACCCTCCGGGACAACGAACATTGCGACTGAGAGTAGCGTCTACCATGGATGGGACCTTTCATTATTCTGAACTATAGCCTACCTTCCTTGCTTGCTCCATAAAAGTAAATATATACTTTTGATAGACTAAGCTACTGCCTTATATAAGTATTACACTCCGATTTACAAAGTTGTCCTATTATAGCTTTACAGTTATTAAGTTTTCATTTTGGTGGTAAATATAATTTGCCTTTACATTTGGTCTTGAGATAATTTCATGTTCACCTATCTATGAAATAATTTGGATATGTATACGAAACCATCAAAGAAATCTCATCTCAGAAAAAAACTACATGGTCACAAATAAGAGTAAAGAATAGTAAATTGCATAAATCAGAGCATTCTTGTTTTGTTCTGTAAATAGGATTCATTTAGGGAATAACCAGTCCACAGTCCTAATAAAAGAGTAAAAACAGTGAAAATATATCTTTAGGGGAGAGTGGGTCTTGTTTTAGGAAAAACAATGATGACCTATTTAAGGAAATCAGTGACTCCACTTTCGATTCATGCATGAAAATTAACCACTCTAATTCAAGCCAATTTATTACCTTTTATCAGAGCATCTAAAAACCACAACAGAAGCATAAAAGATGCACATCAACAGCATCAGATTGAAACTGTTTGAGTACTGACAAGCTTACAGTATTGCAAATGAACCACTCACATTTCGGTTTAGAAGCGTTTAAATTTATTGATTGCTTGTAAATTTTAAATGGAATTTGAACAAGGAAGATCTCCATATATGCGGGCGCATATAAGAAGGAAGAAATATGTATAGCTCCCCTTAGAGTGAAGGACATCATGCATCACTAAAAATTCCCTGATCACATTTATCTGAACTGGAACACCACTGTTGCAGGCTTCGCCCTACTCTCTGGCAGTCCAATGTACAGTTCAGTCTCCACGTCTGATTTTTCACTGCCCTCCGTGCAAATGGTGTCCCTCTCCATCCCTTCATTTGATACTTGCTGTGGTTCCAGTGTCTTAAACTATAACAGTTAATCAGATATTCAGATAACATCATGGAATGTCAAAGTGGTGATAAAAAGTACCAATCTTTGCTAACAAACTTCATACTCCCTGTGTCACTTTTTATATCTTCGTTCTTTCTTTTTTTCATGTGTATCGTTTGGTTTGATACACTTGATTTTTGTTTGTTCCACAAATTTGAGTAGTTCCTTAATTTCAACTCTACTATCTTTTCACTTTCTCACTTAATCCTTTTATACTTCCTATATCATTCCACCTTTTACTTTTTGTTCACTCATACAATTTTTGCATTCCCTTAGAATGCTATTTTTATAAAGTAACAACTATCTTCTTTATTGTCTCAAACTCATGCCTAACTCAAATGTATCTTATATCCTGGCCTAGAGGGAGTAACGTTTATTAATACCTTAAAAAGTGAGTGACCTACAAATAGAAAAACAATAAAAAGAATTAGCTGGAATATTAGATCATACCTTCTCCCATAGCATTGCATTTTCAGCTTTTAGTGCATCTTCCTATAATTTGGTAAGCAGAAAAGATTACTATTAACCTGATAAAGAAACCTGAAAACAAATACTGGCTAAACAAGAAATCCGTGTTCTAATAAAAAACTTTCCTCATGTGTGAGTGCATATGCATGCTAGCTATTTATTCTTAACATGGAAGAAAGATGCACCTTAAAATGATTATTTATAATCATTATAAAACATACCTTCTCCCGGAGCATTGCATTTTCAGATTTTAGTAAATCTTTCTATAATTTGGTAAGCATGATAAATTACTAATAACCTGATAACAAAATCAAAATGAGCACATAGTAGCTGAACAAGAAATCCATGTCCTCAGAGGAGTTTTCCTAATTTTCCTATGCATACTAGCTAATCATTCTTGACATGAAACTATGAAACCATAAACTTAGAAACTTTACCTTTTCTTTTAGCCGCTCAATCTGATCTGTGTAGACTTTTACCTGAAAAAAGCAATAAACAGTGGAAATCAAGCTTCGATGAAAAGATAAATCTGATAAAATGATTAAATCCTTAACTGATCCGACGTAACTCAACTGGAGCACAATACATTTAGGCCAAATCAGAGCAAATGATTGAGTTCATTCAATTAGTTAGTCCAACTTGCTGCCTTATACACCAATGTGTCAATGTAATATATCCACAACTCACCTTTCTTGCTCGGATGATGTTAACACTCCGCTCCAACTGCTGCTCTATCTGTTGTAGCTCCTCCATGGGACATGATCCCAGATCTTCTCCCAGAAGTTTCCTATATAATATGAGCTAACATTGCTTTAATCATTTTGAGGGGGAAATAAAGAATACCTTAATTAACTTAATGGAACATTTTCAACTTATAAACACTTGAGGAGGAAAGTGCAGATTTTAGTCCCATACTTTATGAATGTGCCCATTACTTGTCCTGTAAACTGACTCTTCATGTCCTATAACTAATAAATACATCAACATTTAAGACGTTTATACAGAATGTACTTTACGTGGCAGATAATTCTTTGCCTGCTCAGGTGAAGTTTTTGCAGGAAACGACACATCCCGGTGAAATGTGGACAGAGTTATGACTTACAGGACAGAAGCGAGTAAAATTACAGGACTAATAACCAGTACAAGATAAGTTATGAAACTAAATCAGCAAATATCCAAATATTTGTGTACCGCTTTGAAGCTTCAAGGGCATCTAGTTTTTTGGCCAGGCATTCAGTTTTATGCTGCATATGCTGCAAGTTAGAAATAAGGTTCATGCTCAATGTGCTCAAAAGCATCTGGGAAGAGATAAAAACAGAGAGACTGATTGAAGCATAACCAGCATGTCCTCATCTGGTTCCTGTTCCACTGAGGGATTTTCAGCTTGACGATCCACAGTGTACCTGCGATATCGCGCTATGGTCTCTCTCATGCTGAGGGCGATTCCATAGATATAGCGAAAATCACAAGTCAAATAACTGGTTTTTAAAATTGGCAATCATGCTTAATTAGTTTTCAAGGCCTAAGAACAGATGGGAATATTGGAGAAGGAGATGGTGTTATAACTATTTTTAAGATAATAACCATGACACTCATTTAGTCTTGATCAAAACAGAGCAGAGCCAGTGTTCAAATCAACAAATGTCAAACAAGAGTTGACAGGCTGGTACTATTACTATATATATGCACACACAAACTCATAGCTAATTAATCCACTTATGGATTAGACAATGTTTTTTTTGTGAAGTAAACTATGGGCGACATAGATAAAAAAATCACACAGAATAATTTGTCTGTGTTACTGATAATTAGCCTTGAAAAATATATGTGCGCAAACAAAAAGGGCATCAAATCACTAATTATGGGTGAAAATAGGCCAATGGGTTGCTAGGACCTGGAGTCAAAATGACTTGTGTTAGGTTTTTGGGTCACTTATTCCTTTTTTAATGAAAATATAATTGAAATATCTCAAAAGAACATATGGATGGTTTGAAATTGATTTTGCTTCTGCTTCTTTTTCAAGACCTGCTTTTAGGAGTAACTTTGAGCACTAAGAAATACTTCTACACTTTCACCCAAATACTCCAATATGTGTTTCTACTCCCTAAAGGAGCGGAAGTAGAACAATTTTAATAAACAGATCCAAACACCACATAACAGTTTATGTAAAGTCTTACATCAACATAATTGTTCCTGCTACTATAAATTCACCATCCATCGGTTACACCGATGAGGAATGTACAATAGACATTGCTAAGAGAGAAACATATAATACTAATTGAATAAATCTTTTTTATAATTGAGAGAAAATGAGAGATTAAGAGAAGAAAAGAAAGAGGCGGCTAGGGGTTTATCTAGTTTTCTTAACTTCTAGACCGACCCATATATATAACGTAGAGACACTTGTTTATACAGATGTACGCAGATTTTGGTTCATATGAGAACATTATCTAAGGGGGGAAATGAAAATGATTCTGGAACGATAGATTTTGGTATTGTGCATAACGTGAAACAGAAATATGCACTACCATAAATTAGAAAATGAGTATTTCATATGTACATTATTTTGAGCAAAAACGTGTGCATTCGAACTATGCATTATTTTAACCAAAAATGTCATCCCCATAAACCATAAAGTGCATCTTTTTGGACCGTTCTTATTTCTCACAAGAAGAAGTGCTTTCATTAGAACCGGACTGAGGGTATGTATATTTATATATATCATTATTTTAAATAATGATATATATAAATATATAAATATTATGTAAATAAATTATTTACTTAATAGAATATATTTATTTAAAGATATACTATGCGTTACTTGAATATTAAAACTATAAGCTTTTAAATTCTATGACATTCTCAAGTATTGTTTAAAAGATTTTGTAATGAATTTTATAAGAAATAATTACATAAATATGACCAAAATAAAGATGATTTACAAAAATATGACTAATGACTAGAGTAGTAATGAAATCATAGTAATTCATGTTCAAGTTTTGAGTTTAAGTTACCACAACACCACATTGCAGTAATAAATAGTCATATTTATGTAAATATGTTTTATTTTAGTAATATTCTTGTAAAAAACCCATTTTATAATTTATTAAATTAATTTGTCACTTTTTATTTCCATTCTTTGAACCTGATTCAGTTATAATCTTTCCTTGTTATAGAAATTAACCTAATTAAGACATAACACATTTATATATTCTAAAACAGAACTATTATGTTTTTATTTCCTAAATAGGAGTAATGAGTGATATTAATAGCGCGTTATAGCGATGTTATAGCGGCGGACATGGCCGGCGCTACCAGGAGGCTTGTGGCGTGGCGTTTGGGTGTAGCTTACATAGAGGCCGCTATAATTGAATCAACTACATAGCGTATATTTATTCCTGCTACTAAAAATTTATCTCGCGATCGGTTACACTGACAAGGAATTTACAATATCATGACATCACCAGGTGTGAAATATATAATACCGCTTGAATAAATATTTTTTATATTTGAGGAAAGATCAAAGATCAAGAGAATATTTAAATATTTTTTGTATGTATATGCATATACACTTTTGTTTACTTAAATAGAATGTATTTATTTAAATATGGACAATACGAAATTAGCTCCGCCATGAGATCATTGTTGGTATCATGTCTATCTCAAGTCAGGATAAAGGAGATAAAGGAGGGTGGTGCGGTAGGCGTGTGACGGCTAGCAGTATCAAATAGTCACATCACATGACATGAAACAAAATATGAATGTCGCTACAACTAGGTCGTCGCTTGGAAGCAACGCGCCACTCCAATGCATGAGGGTGGTGTCAAATATGAAAGGTCATGGTGGGGATCGATGTGATGTGAAAAAGAGAAGGCAAGGTGCTAGATTGCATTTTGGGACGTGGAATGTTGGCTCTATTACGGGAGGATCATCTATGGTAGTTGAGGTTATGAGAAGGAAGAATATCAACATCATGTGTGTGCAAGAAACTAGTGAGTTGGACAAAAGGCATGTGAGATTAATCCCAGAGGTTTTAAGTTGTGATATTTGGGGAGAGAGAAAACCATAAATGGAGCAGTCATTATTATGACGTGTGATTATATTGAGCTATGATGGAAGTATTTAGGAAGAACGTTCGCATCATGAGCATTGAATTGATAATAAGAGATGAGATCATCTCCGTGATAAGTGCATATGCCCCACAAGTGTGATTGGATGCATCAACCACTCAACAATTTTGGAAAGATCATAAGGACATGGTGCTACGAGTGCCAAGGGGAGATAAATTGGTCATAAAAGGCGACCACAACAGACATGTGGGCCAAAGTCGTGATTTTTTTGATAGTATCCATGGCACTAGAAATGAAACGGGGAATAACATTTTGGATTTAGCCTCATCATATGAGTTATATGTAAAGATCACTTGGTTCAAGAAAAAAGACTCACATTGTTACCTGGATGATGTGTGGTTGTCAATGGAGTCGACTATTAACAAAGTGCCAAAGGAGATAGTCAGAGAATCTAAAGGATGTCAACCACCAAAAAAGGAAACATCGTAGTGGAATGATGAGATGAAACAAACAATAAGGATCAAAAGGGAATGCTACAAAAAGTTGAGCAAAAGTTGGAGCGATGAGAACATAAAGGAGTACAAGGAGACTTAAAAAAGCAAAGAAAGCTGTAAAGGAAGCAAGAGAGAAAGTGAACAAGGAATTGTATGTAAAATTGGACTTTAAGGAAGGAGAAAAAGATATTTACACACTTACTCGCCTTCGTGATCATAGAACTCAAGATATCGGAAAAGTTAAGTGTGTGAAGGATGTCGATCAAAGGATACTAATGGAGGACAAGAAAATAAAAGAGAGGTGGAGGTCATACTTTGATACCTTGTTCAACGTGAATAAAGTGCAACATATTGATAATCTTATTATACAAGATTGTATGGTAAATCAGGACTTTGTAAGGCTCTGAGAAAGATGGGACGGAAGAAAGCAGTGGGTTTAGATGTCATACCCATCGAGGCCTAGAGAAGTTTGGGAAAGAAAGACATCGAGTGGCTAACACGTTTCTTCAACATGATTTGGAGAAACAACAAATTGTAGTGAGTTGGTGGAAGAGTACTCTCATTCCCCTATTTAAAAATAAGCGTGACGTACAAGAATGTGCCCAATATTGAGGGACTAAGCTTATGAGTCACACCACGAAACATTGAAGCGAATGGTTGAGCAATGTTTGCGAAAAATTGTGAAAGTTTTGGAGAATCGGTTTGGTTTTATATCTGAATGCTCAACAACTGAGGTTATTCACCTTCTTAGACAAGTTGGGAGAAGTATGAAGACACTGAAAAAGATTTGCATTTGGTGTTCATTGGTTTAAAAAGGAATAAGATAGGGTACCTCGAGAAGTCCTTTAGTGGGCCTTAACTAGAAAAGGCATATCACGTCATGAGAGAAGACTTCATAAAAGTCTTTTTATGAGAGAAGAAGTCATGAGAGAAGACTTCACAAGGTGTTATGACGTTGATTACCTTAAGACTTCATGAGAGAAGACTTCATAAAACGTCATCATCGTCATTAAAATTATCATTGTAATCATTTAAGTATAAAAGTCATATTTTTATCAGCTACATTTATTTTAGTCATGTATTCGTCATTATTTCTACTAAATTATTACAAAGCACTCATAGGTGAACAAATAGGAAAAGAGAAATAAGAATAGTAAAATCTGTGTGGTTGAGATTTGGGCAGAGAAGAGAGAAATGTACAGAACCACAAAATAGTTGCTTTAATAGGAAAGTGACAAAGTTTTTTGGGACAACCTAAAAGGAAAAGTTGGCAAAGTCCAATGAGACGGAGGGAGTATAAGATAACTTTATCATTTGTGAAGTTCTTTCCAAACACTCTCCCTACCCATGTATATTTAATAATAGACTATTATCTCTGTCCCACTAACATTGGAATATGAGAAGATGATGTGGTTATTAAGAAAAGTGGATTTATGTGGTTGATATTGAATTGATAAAGTAAGAATAAAGTAAGAAAGATTTAGAACCACACAAACTTTAATAAATTTGATATGAATAATCATAGTGGGACGGACGGACTAAAAAGAAAATATGAGACGATATTAGTGGGACGAAGGGAGTAATAATCTAAACAATATGACTAAAGATTATTAATATACGGAGTAATACATTGTGACATGAAGGAACTAAAAACTCTTAAGTAATTCCACTAAGAGATAATTGGGTGTATATGTTTAAGTTAATTTGACATATTCATAAAAATAGTGTATAACCTTTTATTTTTCTGTAAACTTATTAGCTATGTATGTCCAACAATAACACCGAAATTCTTAAATTTGATGTTTAGTCAATACATATTTTATTTTTATACTACCTCCGTTCTTAAATAAATGCAACACTTTGACTTTT